CTGAGTGGTTGGATGGCAAACAGTCTTTGGCAAGGTGAAAAAAGGCATGAATATCGTGAAAGCTGTAGAGCATTTTGAGTCCAAGAATGTCAAGAGCACCAAGAAGACCACCATTGCTGACTGTGGACAACTCGAATGAATTTGACTTGTGTTCTCTCTTTACCACCAGACCATTCCATCTGTAGCTCAGGAGAGCACCCCTCCACTCCATCTGTTCACTGTGTCCTGTAACCTGTGTTCTCACTACAGTCTTTTGGGTTCCATATTTTCCTTATTAGACTACAAATCTAGCTGAATTACAAAGTTAAGTTTATGATTATGAAATAAAAACTAAATAACAACAACAACTTTTTTAAAAAGCAAAGGAAGAGAAAGAAAGAGGGAGAGTAGGAAGAGGAAAGGAGGAAAGATGGAAGAAAATTTTAAAAACAAGAGAGGGATGAGCAGATGGCATAATGGTTACATCGCTTAACTACCAAGTAGTGGGAACCAGCAGTTAGCGTAATGGCTATGTCGCTGGACTCCCACGTAGTCGACCGCGGTTCGTGTCCCGAACCCGGTGGCTTAAAACTCACGCCGGGCGCGTGTGCGTGCGTGCCCAAGATCCCAAGAGGAGAATGGAGGAGAAGGGATTGCGGCGTGACCATCCCCCCTGGGGGGTGATTTCTCGCTTTCTGTCTCTATGTCTCTCTCTGTCTGTCTGGCGAGCGCACGTGCCCTACAGAGAAAAATCTCTCCAAAAAAAAAAAAAAACCTACAAATACCAAATACCAAGTAGTCAACTGTGGTTTGAGTCCAAGACCCAGCAGCTTGAAACTCATGCTGGGTGCATGTGTGTACATGCCCAAGATCCCGAAAGGAGAAGAGAAGAAAAGGGACTGCAGCACGGCCATCCCCCCATAGATGATTCCTCGTTTTCTGTCTCTCTGGAGAGCACACACATCCTATAGCAAAAATCTCTCTTATAAAAAAAAAGGTAAAGAAACTTACCAGAAAATAAAACAAAAAGATAAAGGCTGGATGTCAGGACAGAAAAGAAAATAAGACAATCAACCCAGAAGATAGAACCACAATAGTTTATGAAGAAAGAACACAGAAAACAAAAGGGAGCAAATTATCAACACAATAATAAAAAGAAAATTCCTAAATTGAAGAAGCAAGTTTTAGAGTAAAAGGACCCACCCAGTTCCAACCAAATAAATGAAAATTAAATTCAGTCATCATTATGGAATTTCAGAATCCCAGAGGCGAGGGTTAGAAATGGCAAAGTAGGGAACCAGCAGTTAGCGTAATGGCTATGTTGCTGGACTCCCACATAGTCGACCGCGGTTCGAGTCCCAGACCCGGTGGCTTAAAACTCACGCCGGGCGTGTGTGCGTACGTGCCCAAGATCCCGAGAGGAAAATGGAGGAGAAGGGATTGCAGCGTGACCATCCCCCCTGGGGGGTGATTTCTCGCTTTCTGTCTCTATGTCTCTCTCTGTCTGTCTGGCGAGCACACGCGCCCTATAGCAAAAAACCTCTCAAAAAAAAAAAAAAAGAAAAAGAAAAGACATGGCAAAGTATACAAAGTTAGGTACAATGAATAGAAAATCAAAATGGAATCGGTTTCTCAAGAAAATGAGAAATCTCAAATTTTCAACCTGGTAGCATACACCAAGGCAAACTTCACTCAAGTATAACAATATAAACCATTTTTATGCAACCTAGAACTTGAAAAATTTACTTCTGCTGATAAATAAAGATACAATTTGTATAACCATAATAATACAATGGGAAGAGAGCATATAAGAGCATACTTTTTGTACACTATTAAAACTAAATTAATGTTAATCCCAATTAGGTTATTTTAGATTAAATGGTAATCATAACTAAGGGAAACCACAAAGAAAACAACTCAAAGCACAGGAAAAAAAAAACAGCAAACAATTAAAATGGTATGATAGAAAATATATTTAACACAAAGAAGAAAGTAAACAAGAAAATCTGAAAAGGCCATAATTATATCAGATAAATTTTTTTTTTAAAGTTGCTAGAGATAAAGAGGAACATTTCATGATGATAAAAGGGCCAATCCATCAACAAGATTTAACAATTATAAATATTTATACACCTAACAACAGAGCCCCAAATAAAGGAAGCAAAATTAAAGGCAGAAATAATTCAACAATAACAAAAATAATTCTCCAACAATTCAATTTTCAACAGCCCACTTTCAATAATGGATAGAAGGACAAAAGTCAAACAAGGAAATAGAAAACTTGAGAAGTACTATAAATCAACCAGACCTAACAGACTGTATCTATAGAACACTCTAACCAAGAGCAACAGATCACACTTTTCAAATGTACACAGGAAATATTCTCTAAAATAGACCATTGCTAGATCGTTAAATAAGATGCATATGTAAAAAGACTGAAATCATACAAAGTCATACAAGTCATTATAAAATAGAATTACAGGGGACCAGCAGATGGCGTAATAGTTACATACATGGTTTAGGTCCCAGACTCAGTGGCTTAAAACTCACACCAGGCACATGTGCATGTGTGCCCAAGATCCTGAGAGAAGAATGGGAGAGAAGGGATTGTGACATGGCCATCCCACCTGGGGAGTGATTTCTCCCTTTCTGTCTCTTTGTGTGAGCGCACATGCCCTATAGCAAAAATTTATCTTACAAAAAAATTGTTTTTACAAAAAAAAAAAAAAAAAAGAATTATATTGGGCCAGCAGTTGGCAAGAGGACCAGTAGATGACATAATGGTTATGTCACTGGACACCCACGTAGTTGACCACGGTTTGAGTCCTAGACACAGGAGCTTAAAATTCACACCAGGCACATGTGTGTGCATCCCCAAAATTCCAAGAGAAGAGAGAAGAGACCGTGGCGTAGCTAGCCCCCTGGGGGAGGTGATTTCTCACTTTCTGTCTTTTTGTCTCTCTAGCAAGCGCACACACCCTATAGCAAAAATCTCTCTACAAAACATATATATATACATATATATATATACATAACAATATGTTGAGACACTCTGGAATAAATAACAGGCCTTGCAAATGACACTTGGTAGATGGATTTAGAACCTCATAGGACTCTTAGAAGAAGACAATCAGGGCCAGCTGGTAACACAGTAGTTAAGGCAGCAGGATCCCACATGACTAATTGCATGGCTTGAGTCCCACTCTCAGCAGTCTGAAAAACACACTAGGCATGTGTGCATTTGTGTCCATAATCCCAAAAGTACCAAGAAATAGAGAAGGGATTGAGGTAGAACCATGCCCCATGAGGGTAGGGAGAGGAGAGAGGGGGATGCTTTCTCATTTTTCCTCTCTCTCTCTCTCTGGTGAGTACATGTATCCTCTGACAAAAAATTAAAAAAAAAAAAAAAAAAGGCAAATGAAATAAATCATAAAAAGTATCTCCCTGACACATAAAAGACACTAAATGTTCGTTCACTTCCCTTCATTCAGTCTCTATGCCCCAACTCACATCACCCATAGTGTTCCTTGCTATAGTGAGTACATCCTCCAGACAGAATGTCTTCACCTACTTCAACATTTCCTCAAGCCATTATTCTAACTCCAAAACTGAGTCTCAAACAGTTCTGCGACCCTCTGACTGCCCTAAATCTTTTTCTTTTTTGGGGGAAGAGGTTTTTGCTATAGGATGCGTGCGCTCACCAGAAAGACAGAGAGAGACAGAAAGCGAGAAATCACCCCCCAGGGGAGTGGCCACACCGCAATCTCTTCTACTCCATTCTCCTCTCGGGATCTTGGGCATGCACGCACATGTGCCCTGCATGAGTTTAAGCCACAGGGTCCGGGACTTGAACCACGGTCAACTACGTGGGAGTCCAGCGACATAGCCATTATGCTAACTGCTGGTCCCATGCGCTAACTATTTCAAAACAGAATTTTTCTACCTTTTCACTGTACCATAGGCCTACCTAAAAGACATAAATTCTATTACTATACCCAATATTTTTGCCTACTAAATATGTCCAAGACAGCTTTTTTATATAATCACAATATGTAAGTCACTTGAATTTGTCTGCACAGCTATTTTTTAAAACTATCCAGACATACAGATTTTACTAATAACTGCCATTGCCATTTTTTTTAGAGAGGTTTTTTTTTTTTGCTTTAAGGTGTATGTGCTCAACAGAGAGACAGAGACAGATAGAGACAGAAAGCAAGAAATCACCCCCAATGGGGTGTGGCCACATCGTAATCCATTTCCTCTCTTAATCTTGGGCACACACCCCCACGTGCCTGGCATGAGTTTTAAGCCACTGGGTCCAGGACTTGAACCACAGTTGACTATATGGGAGTCCAGCAATGTAACCATTAAGCACCATCTGCAGGTCTCCCAACAACTGATTTTTAAAGTAGTACCCCCTCTAAACTTCATTACTACAAATAAGTAACTATCATTTATCCATTTTCTTCAATAAATTGACTTTAAATTTTTGGCCTATACAATTTTGGTTAAAGATGAACTTTTAGAAACGTAACTTTTTTGTGTTTTAATAAATCACATCCTTAGAGTCATCCATGGCAGGGTGGTTGAGGTGGTTAGTTTCTACATAGCTGACCGCACAGTTCAAGTCCCAGAACAGGCAGCTTGAGAAACATCCCAGATGCATGTGAATGTATGCGAAAATCCCAGAGGGAGGGAGAAGTGGAGAAGAAGGGATTCCAGCATGATCATTCCCCATGAGGATGCTTCCTCACTTTCTAATTCTTACTCTCTGGCATATTTTTTTTAATCACATATTTAATAAAGCAACTAAATGTGAGTCTTTGTTACTATGGAATAAGCCCCTTTTCCTCTATTTAAAGGAAGGAAAAGTTCACTTTTGTACAAAGCTATTAGTTACTCTTTCAAGCACATAGTTAGGAATGTAGAGAGAAGTAATTCCACATGTTAATATCAGCAGTTAAGGAAAAGGAAAAATAAATAGTGAAAACAATTAGAAATAACTATAAAAATATACTTACAGCCACAAAGTGCAAATGGCTATCCTTTAAGAAATTTTGAACTTTGTCCTTGGGTAAAATATTGAATCGAAACCGAAGGAGATCCATTTCTTGTTGAATGAACCAGCGTCTAAGGTCTTCACTGAAATGAAGACGGGAAATTATAAGTATGAATGGCTGGCAGGTGCCAAGGTAGTTAAGGTGCTAGACTCCCACATGGCCAACCGTGGTTTAAGTGCAGGACCTGGAGACTTGCTTCTCTCTCTCTCTCTCTCTCTCTCTCTTTCTCTCTCTCTTTCTCTCGTCAAAAGGAAGAATAATAATAAATTAATCAGTCTTTAAAGAAAAAAATCTAATTTTTTTAAGAGAGAGAGATTTTTGCTATAAGGCACATACACTTGCTGGAGACACAGAGAGAAAAACCCCAAATGAGAAATCACCCCCCCCACCCCCCGGGGAACGGCTATGCTACAATCTCTTCTCCATTCTCCTCTTGGAATTTTGGGCATGCACATACATGCACTCAGTGTTGATTTTAATACTACCAGGTCTGGGACTCGAACCATGGTCGACTATGTGGAAATCCAGTGACATAACCATTATGCCATCTACTGGTCCCAAAATCTACTACTTATTAAATCCAAGAAAGTTTTCTCAAATAATATTCAAACATAAGAAAGATATCCACAAATAGCAGTTAAAAGCATACTATATCTTGGGGCCTAGCAGGTGGCATGGTGGTTAAGGGCATTGGACTCCCACATGGCTAACTGTGGTTCAAGTACTGGACCTGGCAGCTTTCTCTCTCTCCCCCTCCTCCCCTCCTTCATACTCTCTCTCTCTGGTCAAATTAAAATGAATAAAATAAAATAATAATTTAAAAAAATACACTATCTCTATTATGATGAAGAGATTATGAATGTTACACACCACAGTCTTCCAGGAATATGTTACATAGAAGGTAGAGGGGTGTAATAAACATATATTAAAAGGACTGAATTTTTAGTATTTTAAGCCTAGCTGTGCTGTCACTGAATAATATTAAAAAAAAAAAAAAAAGTTCGCTACATCTAATATAATTTCTAAACAGTCACTGGCATTAGGACATAGGGTACCCTTGGGGCTGGCAGGTGGCATAATGGTAAAAGGTGCTAGATTCCCACATAGCTAACCACAGTTCAAGTCCCAGACCTGTTGACTTTCTTTCTCACCTTCACTCTCTCTCTCTGTCTCTCTCTGGTCAAATTAAAAAATAATAATAACAAATGGAATTAAATAAACAAATAATTCTTTAAAAAATAAAGAAAATGGGGTACTCTTTCGGTCTGAGGTGGTTTTATCAATATCAAATTTCTTACTCCATTTGATCTTAGTCAAAAGACCGAGAAAAAATAAACTTCAATTTTTTTTTTTAATAAAGGTTTTTGCCTTAGGGCAAAGTGCACTCACCATGGGGTGAGAGACAGAGACAGTGAGAGGAAAAGTGAGACATCACCCCTGTGGGGATGGCCACATCACAATCCCTTTTCCTCCATTCTCTTAGGATGTTGGGTACACACTCACATGTGCCCTGCTTGAGTTCTAAGCCACTAGGTCTGGGACTCAAACCGCGGTCAGCCATGAGGGAATCCAGCAACATAACTGCTAAACAATCCTTTAGCCCCTAAACATCAAATATTTTTTAGAAGAGTAATTTAACTTTATTTGTTTACTTTAATTTGACCAGAGAGGGACAAAGTAAGAGAGAGAGAGGGAAACTGAGAAAGCAAGCTGCCAGGTCCAGGAACCAAACTGCAGTCAGCCATGTGGGAGTCCAGCACTCTTAACTACCATGTCACCTGCTGGCCCCTAAACATCAAAGTTTTAAAGATAACTTTATCTCTAAATAAAATAAGATCAGATGAATTTTGCAAAGTATATTTTGCCTATAGCTTTACACTTCATAATTTCACAAAACATAATATACACAAATATACCTCAATATTTAAAAAGCTAACATAAAAATATATTAATTTGTAAGACAAATGCATAATGAACATTCTTATAAAATGATTACCCAGGACTAGCAGACAGTGTGATAGTTACATCACTAGATTCCCACATGGCCAAGAGCAGCTAGAGCCCCAGATCTGGTGATGTGAAACTCACACCAGGTGCACTCATGTGTGTGCCCAAAATTCCAAGAGGAAAATGGAGGAGAAGGGATTGTAGCATGGCCATCCCCGGGGTGGGGGGTGGGGGGATTTCTCGCTTTCTTTCTCTCTGTATCTCTAACAAGTGCACGTACCCCCACAGCAAAAATCTCTCTTAAAGAAAATAAAAAGATTACTCTCCTGAATGTAAAAAAGGATTTCAATATCTTTTGAGGTGACATTCACAGATTGTCAGCAATTCATTTACTATATAAACTGAAAAAACTATATGTTTTTCTAGAAAAGAAAAGTTTTTGGACCAAAGCTAGCAATTACTTAACCATTATCTTGAGATAGTAGGCAATACAAGATTCTCACTTGCTAAGCCTATTAATAAAAAGGGACAGCTAAAACTATATTATTTGGGCAAAATCAATAATGGAGGGGTTTAAAGAAAATCAACTAACTTCTCCCTCTAGGTGGCACTACTGACTCACAAGAAACCAACTTCCAAACCAAAAATACCCGTTATATAATAGGCCCATACATCTCAATTTTTTTCATTCCCAGAATGCATGTGTGCTCACCAGAGAGCGAGAAATAGGAAGAAAGAGCAAATGCAACTCCCACTAAGGTGTGGTCATGCCACAGTCCTTCCTCCATCCCTCCGTCCCTCCGTCCCTTCAGGATGTGGGGCATGCACGCCCACATATACACACCAGACCTATGTTAGTCAAGGCCAGCTTTACATCTCAAATTCTAAAAACCTCTATCAAATCTAAGTATGTGTTTGATTCGTTGTTTCTTATAACTACAACCACTTTTCTTCCTGGAAAAGTATCAGAAGTCCTTCTTCCTAATGAAATCCTTTCTCATTATCTTTTAGTTAACAAGTCTTTCAAACAACTCACTGCATCAGTGTTCTACCCATCTCCACTGGTTCCTGATTTTGAGTTTTTCCACTTTAGTAAAACATGTCAAATTTCTATGTACCAATTTAAAACCCAAAACAGCAGAGACGACTGTGAGGGTATAAATGTATACTTACGACTGGCAGTAAGCAAGGCGCAAAATGAAATGAGAAATATGATCTCTTCTTCGTGGTTCATATTCGTCTTCTAAATTTTCCTGAAAATAATGAAATGAATAACATAAATGCTTTCCAGTTATAAGAGGAATAAACAAATATTGAGTCAGCATAAGCCCATAGTCAAGTATAGTTTTAAAAACATATCTCTTGGGACCAGCAGGTAGCATGGTGGTAAGGCACTGGACTCCCACATGGCGGACTACAGTTCAAGTCCCATACCTGGTGCCTTGAAACTCACACTGCACGTGTGTGTGTGTGTGTGTGTGTGTGTGTGTGTGTGTGCCCAAAATCCTGAGAGGAGAATGGAGAACAGACTGTGGCATGGCCATCCATGGTGGGGATGATTTCTCACTTTCTCTCTGTCTCTCTGGCAAGTGCACATGCCCTATGATAAAAACCTTTTAAAAAAAAAAAAGTCTTAATATACTTTCCAGGATAATTATCACTTCATACTTAACCTACCAATAAAGTAAAACTGAGAACTGATCTCAATAAAACCTCCTGGATTTGACCCACTATTTTATTCCTATCAACCCCTGTCAACTTTCTTACATATCCAGCCCCCATTCAAGGCACTTACCACTTCGACCACTTCTTATGTCAACCCTTAATTTTTTTCATTTCAACTACAAAACCTGTATTCTAAATTAATCTACAGTTACACTCCACAGTTCATTCCCAAAATATTTAGGACCTCTTGAGAAAAAATATACAACTATGGGAATTTGAAATATAAAAAGTCATGACCTCTAACTTCAACTGGACCCTTACCAATCTAACGATTCCTTATTCAAGTTTGAAATAGTAAAAGCAAACACGTCTTGCACCCCTTACTTACTGGGTACCAGGCAGTGTTTTAGCATTTTTAATTAATTATTTTTTGTATTAACAAAACAAGAAAAGAACTATGTGTTAAGTATTTCTATATCCTCATTTTAAAGATGAGGAAACTGAGGCACAGAGAGGTGATTTCGAAGCTTGGATCTGACACATAATCACCTCCCTTCGCATTTTTTAGAAAAGCTGCCTCCATCTCCACTATTTGCCCCAACTGCCCTGCTGTAGCACTTTTCCCTTCTCTCTCAATAGATGGCTTCAGCCAATTTATGAAAAACAGAGGCCACCCCACAGACTTCTTCAGCCCCAAGCCTCTGCATTCATATGTGCTTCCTTCCATCTCTGTGGGAGCAGCATCTCTCCTTCCTCCTAAGTAAAGTTAATCCCTCCATCTAAACTCTCCAACCATTCACCCTTAGTTCCTAAAGACCTTGATTTATCAAAGGTTCTCTCAAAGTATCTTCAAGCTCTCCTCCTCTTCTAGGTTAGATCTTTCTGCTCAGCTTATTTATCTCCTGTCCTATAGTATATACGTGTGTGTGTGTGTGTGTACGTGCGTGTGTGTCCTCTTTTCCCTAATACATCCTCTATATTCTGCCCTACTTCTCCCATCTTGTCAGCCACGTAACTTAAAAGGGTAGCCATTCATAAATACCTCCCTCTTCCAAGCATGGTCATCATTTTGGTCTCTGCCCTTATCTATGGTAAAAGAACCCACATAGCTGCTAAAGCCAATGGACATGGTATGCTCATCTTACATTATCTGTCTCAAACTTCTGAAACTGTTGTGGGTAAGAGAACAACCACAAAAATGAAATGCTTAGATTTGAATCCTGGCTAAACCATTTACCATCTTTTTTTTTTTTTTTCTTTTTTTTTTTTTTTTTTTTGAGAGAGATTTTCGCTATAGGGCGCGTGCGCTCGCCAGACAGACAGAGAGAGACATAGAGACAGAAAGCGAGAAATCACCCCCCAGGGGGGATGGTCACGCCGCAATCCCTTCTCCTCCATTCTCCTCTCGGGATCATGGGCACGCACGCACACGCGCCCGGCATGAGTTTTAAGCCACCAGGTCCGGGACGTGAACCGCGGTCGACTACGTGGGAGTCCAGCGACATAGCCATTACGCTAACTGCTGGTTCCCACCATTTACCATCTTACAAGATGAAGCAAGTTACTTATTCTATCCGTAAGTAACACTATCCTCATCCATAAAATAGAGAGGATAATAGTACCTACCTGTTACAACTGTTGTATGGGTTACAGGGTTAATATGTGTAAGACAGAATAAAATCTGGTAATATAAAGGCATGCTGTTGTTATTCCTACATTCTCCTTATTTCTATCATAATCATTATCATCGAAATGCCAGTCATCCTTGGCTTCTATGATACTACTATCCTAGTTCATCTCCTACTTTTTTTTTTTCCTTTTAATTTGCTATAGAGCACGTGCACTTGCCAGAGAGAGAAAGAGTGAGGGAAAGCACCCTCCAGAGGGGTGGCAACGCTACAATCCTTTCTCCTCCATTCTCCTCTCAGAATTTTGGGCATGCATGCATGCGTTCCTGGTATGTTTTTTCAAGCCACCGGATCGAGGACTCAAACCACACAGTTAATATGTGTGATCCAGCCGCCTTAATCACCATGCCACTAGCTGGCCCATCATCTCCTGTTTCTGAGAAAGCTCCTTAATCTCCTCCCTAGACTCCTCCAGTTCCACTTCACCTCTGGAATTCTTCCCATTCTCTCATTTCCCCAGTCACTCAAATATTTTCGTAGCATGCTCTCCTCTACACTTGATGATTCCAACCTTCCCTTACAGCGATACTCCCTCTTACAGATGTCTTTTAAGTGAAGACCAGCACATCCCATCCACTAGAAATCTCCACAAGCACCTCAAAGTCATGTGTAGAACTAAACTCAGCATCTTCCTCCCAAGACTTGCTCCTCCTCATGTATGGTACATGGACATTATCACCACCATCCACCTAACTGTCCTAACTAGAAACCTGGGGGTCATTCGTAATTCTTCTCTCTCTTTCCTCCCTGCAATCAGTCACTAGGACGTTTAGATCCTGCCGTCTTAGTATCTCTTCGGTCAGTCCCCTTTTCTCATTCAGTTCACACTCTCATCATTTCCAGGCTCCTAACTGGTTTGCTTCCTTTCAAACCTGACCTGTCAATCTGCTGCTGGTAGACACCTTTCCCAAACAAAGATCTGATCACATCTGTCAAGATACCATTCCAGGATAACCTGCTCTGTAAAACCCTCCCGATCTGAGCCAGGCAATCACATATGCGCTTCGAGTTCCTGAATCATACATGCGATAACAGCAGCCATCTCTATAACATACAGGAGACATCTGGCAATGTCTGGAGACATCTAGTGGATATAAGCCAGGGATGCTACTGAGCACCACAGGGTCCACAGGGACAGTCTTTGCAACAAGGAATTATCAAGCCCAAAATGCTGATGGTCCTGAGGTGGAGAAATCCTGACCACATGTCAATCAACCCTAGCAGACTGTAGTTACCTTCAGGCAGTGGTTACACTACATTAGTCTTCATAAAAGAGCCCTAATGCAAGACCTTTCCCACAACTGACACTCAGTCCCTGAATACATACAACCAAAAAACTGTTTTTCATCTTTTTACTTACTCTGTAGGAAAACTTGAGCTTGCGAATCTCAGCCTCCAACTTACTCTGGTATTGCTCAGTTCCTTTTACATAGCTCACACCGAGATTTTCAACTGATTTTAGCACTACAAAGAAAGAAAAGTCAAAGAAAAAAGGTATAAAGGCCAGATAAGATTTTTTATTACTATTTCAATTTCTTTTATACATTCAATCATGTTACTTAGCTTGCAAAGTGAAAATGTCAACATGTGTACATTTTACACCAGTCCCGTTGACAATACTATAAGGTTATCCCCTCAACAGATAGTAACCCATTTCTTGGCCCCATAAAATCCCTTAAGGCCAGATAATTTTTTAAAACCTAAATCCAAGATAAAATCCTTGGAGGTACTTCTGTCATTACCTGTTTATAAAGCATGACAAGTTTTAACAGGCCTATTAGTAAACTGTCCACCAGGTACATCAATAAACTGTACATATTTACAAAACAATAATCTACTGGGTCATCAGGAAAGTCATGAGGTACTTTTGCATAGGAAAACACGTCATGGCTTTCCCAACGACCTCATACATCTATGTGCAGAAATATCCATGTCCCACAGCATATACTAGGGATTTTCAACCAGGGGAGACAAAAATAGTATATAGTCACCACTGCCCTGAGTCACTGATGTTAAGGAACAGAAAAGTGTGTCAGTATAGACTTAAAAAAAAAAAAAAAAAAAGGCACCCTTTCTCTGCACCTGCATGTAGAGCTGTCTTACTGGCAGTCTGCTTCATTTACGCAGCATAGACTCATCAGATAAAAACAGCCCTTTCTGACCTGATGAAGCAGAGACAGAATGAAGAAGCAGGGCCCCTCCAGTCATCCAAATGAACCATCCTGAATAGATGCTACGACTATGCAAAGGTCCCTAAAACTGCTGAGCAATCCTTTCTTATATGAATTCTTCTCTTGAGGCGTATTTTTTATGCAAAAAGAAAAAGCTAATATTGCCTTCTGAGCATAAACCCAGGCTCCACAGGTAACTCCTTGTCACGATATCCAAACCAAACTAATTATCAGGTTGTTGGAAGTCATGACATACGTTTCTATCTTTTTCTATGCAAAAATATCTCATGAGTTTCCCAACAACCCAGTATCTTCCCCACATTCTTGTCCCTCTTTCTGTCATCCCCATCTCCACCACCAGAGTTTCTATTCACAAATTCTTCAAATAGAAACTTCAGCTACCCAGCACCCACTCCTTCATTCTGAATATCCAAACCAAATCCTATCAATACAACCAAATCCTATCCTTCATCTGAAATTCTTGGGATCAAAAATGTTCTGGATTTTGGATTTTGTTCAGACTTTACAATATTTATATATACATAAATAGGAGCTGGGACCCAAGTCTCTACACAAAAGTCATTTATGTTTCATCTACAACTTATTAGCCTAAAGCTAATTTCATACAATCTTTTTGTGTTGCAGTGTTTTAACTACGACCTATCACATGAGGTCAGTGTGGAATTTTCTACTTATGGCATCATGGTGGCACTCAAAAGCCTTCAGATTTTGGAACACTTCAGATTTTCAAATTAGGTATGCTCAACCTGTAATAGCTCCTCACAATCCCTTAAATCTCTCCCTTCCAATTACTGCCATGGCTGCTACCTTGGTCGAGGCCCCTACCATTTCACCTAAACGCCAAACCTAAGAGACACCTTTCAATCATCACCTTAATCCCAATGAGGCATATGACACTGTTGAGTTTCTAAAATCCTTTTCTCCCTTGCCTTCACTCTTTCATTTAACATACAGGTAGGATGCCTTCTCTCTGTATCAGTAGTTCTTACCCTGCTCCTCCATGACTCATTAACAGTATCTCACCTCTTTGTCAGATGTTTCCACTAAAATATCCTGAAACACATAAATCCTGAAGACAAGACCATTACCATCTCTGTTCCAATTCATGCCTGGCTTTCTCCTTTCTTCCATCAATGCACAGAGGGCAAGGAGGCTCCCAATATACAGTGGCCATATCCTTTTTGCAGCCCAATTAGTATGGCACACTATGAATATGGCACAAAATGCCCTTGTATAGCCATACTTCTCCATCTACCCTGAATGTTCTACTGTCCTCTGAAACATGACATGTTCTTTCAGGCTTTGCTCAAAGCCTTTCTACAGGCCATTTCTCAGCTAAGAAATGTCATTCACTTATCTGTTGCAAAATTTCTACTCATTCCTCAAGGCCCAAATCACATTTCAGTTTCTCTAAGAAGCCTTACTTGGACTGTCAGTCACTTCCATGCTGTGTCCCATAGCACTCCTATTTACATATACTAGAGCAATTAAAATACTGAATTACGGAACCAGCAGATTATGTAATGGTTATGTCCCTGGACTCCCACATAGTCGACTGTAGTTTGAGCCCCAGGCCTACTGACTTAAAACTCATGCCAGGCGCATGTGTGTGCATGCCCAAAATCCCGAGAGGAGACTGGAGGAGAAGGTATTGCAGCATGGCAAACCCCTGAGGGTCGATTTCTCACTTTCTGTCTGTCTGTCTGTCTGTCTCTCTCTCTCTCTCTCTCTTTCTGGTGAGCATATGCACACTATAGCAAAAATCTCTCTCCAGAAATAAATAATACTGAATTACAACTCTTATCTTGGACATCTGTCTCCACATACTTGAATAAAGCTTCAATGAAGAATCACATTATTCATCTCAAAATCATTGCAACCTAGAATACAATACATTCAACATATATGTATTGTACAGAAAATAGATTAATAAGCTCTCAAGAAGGATTGAGTGGATTGCTGAATGAAATAAATTACCTTCATTTATGTCTCACAAAGTATAAGTGACCTTTTCAAGAATATACATATATATATATATTCTAATTTAAATATTACTTACATTTAAGTCTGTCGATAGCCAAGTTCTCAAACTCTATCAAAGATATGTTTTCAGAAGGTGGCTGCAAGTAAAACTGAAGGCTATGAGGATAACAAGCATTCCTCTGATCACCTGCCAACCTCAGCTTCCTCCTCTTTCCTCCAGAAAACTGCATCTTGATCACCTTGGAAGGAAACACATAACTTTTAAATGATAGAAAATAGAGTTAAAAAAAGACAAACACACGAATAATAATTCCACATATATGGAAAATATACTGAAGTTGAAGGCATGCATGCATAAAATATTAACAGTGGTTTAACCCTGAGTAATATTTTTCTGTACTTCTTTCAAGGTTTTCTACAATACCCCTGCAATCGTTTAGTAATAGGAAGGCGTACTAGGGGAGGTGCAGGTGCTGGTCCTAACAGGTTCTAACTTTCAGCAACATGAAAGTCAGGTGGTGTTGCCTGCTCACTGTAGGTCTGTGTGTCACTACTTAGATCTTTACAATCCCAAAAGTTAAGATGGGTTTTATAAGGGCTGCATTCCTGAATTCTAAGGAAAACGCAGTAGGCTCTGGCTGTATGAGAAACGAAATGAACTGGGTCCAGTTAATTACTTCCTATCTTAAGACTCTGGGAAACAGAACCACTATCTTTCGGATCTCCTTGTGGGGAGCACCTACAAGGGCCTTATAAAAGTTCGCACTCCGATCCTCCCCCACATTCCCCGGCGAAACTCTCTCCCAAATCCTCTTCCTGACACCCCTCTGCCCCAAATCCAATATCAAATAGCCCCACCCGCCGGTCAATCCTTCAGCCTCCCACTGCCTGCAAAGCGATCTCCTTTCACTTCGACGTGCAAGCCTCAACACCAGGGCTGCTCTCCGCCTTAAGTCCGACGGAGCTTCTCTTACTTACAAGCACCGGAATTGGAGCGGACACAACCGATGACAGCCGCTTTTCCCGGGTGGCGGGAAATTTCATGGGAACCGGAAGCGGAAGCGATTCGCCCAGAAGGCCCGCCCATCCCCGCGTCGGGCCGGCGGACGGTTGGCTGGGGAGGCGGGGAGTGAGCGAGAGGACGAGGGGCGGTCTCGGGGCGTGTTTCGTCCGCTGTGCCTCCTGAAAACTTTAAAAAACGAGTGATTTGGGGACTTTTTTCCCCGAATGTGCAGTCTGTCGCTTCTGACGTTTAAGCTGGGTGTTGAAATGCCGGCGGCAAGCTAGTCCACACACTGGAGGTTGCCCCTCTGTGACTTCGTCTGGGGACCCTAGCAAAGATTCCTTCAGTGGGGTGGGGGGACGTGGCGCTTTAACCCGCGGGACTGGCACGCATCACTTTGGGACTGGGAGGGAATGGAGAAAGACCAGGCACTGAGGTCGTTTTTGCACCGGCGCACTATTCCTCCCAGCCGATCCTGTAAGATGGGTCTTGTTACTCCCGTTTTGCACAGGAGAAAACAGAAGCTAAGAGAGTGGTCGGTGCGCCTGCCTACGAACAACACTTGTGTTTTCTGCTGGACCGCGTGGCCCCCGCGGGCAGATTCCACCTTCAAGTCACCTTTCCCCTTCCCCGTCACACTTCTCACCGCCGAAGCGCCCAACCAAATAGCTGGCTTAAGCGGAAAATGCTCGCAGAAGTGGCTTCGGAGTCTGCAGGAGTTAGGAGACGCCAGGCTCAAGGGGAAGGAGGGGTGGGAGAAGGGACGCGCTGGGGAGAACGTGCACTAGCCGCCTACATGCCAGGTGTCAGATCGCAGACTCGCAAGCGGCGCTTCTGAGCCACACCTGCTCTCCGGCGGCTGTCAGTCTGTTTTCGAGAAACAAACCTCACTTGGGGCCTCTAGGGGGCGAGTCTCACTTACAAAAGTTGCCGAGGGAGGCTGGTAAAGATAGTCATTGAAGATGAAGTCTGCAGTGTTCTCGCTTTTGGAAATGTACACTGAAAAGTCTATCAAGCTTCGAAGCGCCTACTCAGCATGGATGAAACTGACCAATACTGACTGTGCCAGAACTTGTTCATATCAATTCGTTTTATTCTCTTAACTATAGGAAGCGGGTTCTATTAACTCCATTTTACAGTTTGAAAGAAAAAAAAAAAGGAACAGAGAAGTGATTCTGAAAGATAACCTAGTAAGTGACAGAGCCAGGTTCAAACCCAGGGAGGTTCTCTCGTCACAGAACTAGCACCATCTCACTGTGCTAATTTCACTCCCATGACAGCAGAGCTTCTCCATATCTCCTTACTCTCCTTATTACAATGTAATTTAATACCACCTGGTCCAAAGACTACACCTGAAAGCATGAGAACTGCTTGGGAAAAACCTGGAGTGCAAACCATGAGAGTATTTACATGAATATCTGTTCTCTGGTTAGGAAAGCAATTTAAATAAATTACTAAGAAAAAATAAAGGGTTGGCTATAAAAATATAAAATTGTGCATTTCAAAAGTCCACAGAATTATTTTGCAGTCATCAAGCCAGGGAACAGGTTTACCATAAATATAACTTTTTTTTGGAGAGGTTTTTGCTATAGGGCGTGTGCACTCGCCAGAAAGACAGAGAGAGACAGAGAGACAGAAAGCGAGAAATCACTCCCCCAGAGGGGATGGCTACGCCACAATCCCTTCTCCTCTATTCTCCTCTTGGGATCTTGGGCACGCAC